TGGGGGGAGGGAGGGTGGATTTGGGGTCACCTCCCAGCCAGGAGCAGGCAGGAACACGCTGTGGGCCTCGGGGGGAGATGTCCCCATGGAGCTGAAGCGTCCCCGTGAGGTGTCCCCGTGAGGTGTCCCCATGGAGGTGAGGTGTCCCCATGGAGATGAGGTGTCCCCATGGAGATGAGGTGTCCCTACGGGAGGTGAGATGTCCCCATGGAGGTGTCCCCGTGGAGGTGAGATGTCCCTGTGGAGATGAGGTGTCCCTGCGGAGGTGAGATGTCCCCATGCAGATACCCCCATGGTGATGAGGTGTCCCCTCGGAGGTGTCCCCACAGAGGTGAAGCATCCCCGAGCGCATCCCACCCCCCCGCCGCCACCGGCGTCCCCGTTACCTGTGGCCTCCACCATCCCCTCGAGGATGACGACGATCTCAAAATCGTCCTTCTCCAGCTGGTGCCGCGAGACGTCCCAGAAGGGGCTGCGCTCGTCGATCTCGTGGCTGATGATGAGGGGCGAGACGAGGAAGAGGCGGTCGTCGCCCGTCTCGAAGCCCACGCTCAGGTCGGTCTGGTCCAGCGGGATGAACTCGCCCTCCTGCGTCTGCTTGGACTTGATGAGCTTGGCGCGGATGGAGGCCTCCACGATGTGCGAGTCCCGCAGGTCGCCCACGCGGAACATCAGGCAGAGGCGGTCGTCCCGCAGGGAGACCACGGCGTGGGAGGAGAAGACCAGGGTCTCGGCGCGCTTGTTGGGCTGGGAGATCTTGACGAACATGCAGCCCACCATGAAGGCGTTGACCATGGAGCCCAGGATGGCCTGGAGCAGCAGCAGCACGATGCCCTCGGGACACTTGTCGGTGATGACGCGGTGGCCGTAGCCGATGGGGGGGTTCGGCTCGGTGGGGGAGGGGGAGGGACGAAGCCGTTGAGGTTGTTGACGCAGGGGGTCCAGGCGTGGTCCTCCAGGTGGTCCAGGTCCCCCCGGCAGTAGGCGATGAACCACCAGATGAGGCCGAAGAAGAGCCAGGTGACGGCGTAGGCGAGGATGAAGACGAGGAGGCTGAAGCGCCACTTGAGGTCCACGAGCGTGGTGAAGATGTCGGTGAGGTAGCGGTAGGTCTCCCGCACGTTCCCGTGCTGCACGTTGCACTTCACGTCCTTCTCCACGTAGCGCTGGCGCTTGCGGGCGCCGGCCCCCCGCC